CTTTATTTCCAGTGTGGTATGAGAATATACTGTGGTATACTAATACACCTGTGTTGTTGTATTATTGTAGTGTTATAATATTCCTTCTGAATATGTGCAGGTTTCACATAGTACATAATTGAAAATAAACATTAAGTTGATCTTGTTTCAAGTTACTTTGCTATTCTCAAAAGTAAGTAATACCTATTTCCAAATGATAGGACATTGTTTAATATAACGTTATGTAAAAATGTTGACAGCAGTGTCCTTCAGTGGCTGTTCGGGTGATATCTAGAGGTTTCAGCTTCACCTATGTTGTAAGAGAATGTCCAACCACATAAGTTAAACATGTCTAGGTAAATGCAAAGTTTGTTGTATACCAAGAAATCTTACATTTGATCAATCTAGTCTGGAACTTTGTCTTCAGTAGTCAGTCTGTCTGGATTATTTTGCAACTTATGACCAAAAAAAGTATACAGACAGAGTGACAGTCCAGCATGTTCAACATCTAAGCAGGTATACACACTTTGTTTATGTTTAATACATAATAAAGATTGTGCATTTTGTGTTACACTTCATGTCCAGTTCATTATTTTATCTCACATCAACTTAGTTAGAGTTTTAGTACTACACCATAATCAGTATCTTGGTCAAATCTCCAGTTATCAAACAGACCTATCTGATACCTTTACAGTTAATTCTGTTTCACCTTGAGCACACTAGTATGAGGTTAGAAATGTTTTGGTTGTCTTAGTTATACTTGTTTATTAACTATGCCATAGGCAAAACGTGTTTCACAATTTAATCATAGATATGAAAAGTATATTAAATGAAGTGCTGAGACCTAGTGGTAATACTTAAAATTTGTAAAGGTTTCTTAGCATGATAAGAGTAATTGCTAATGTTTAATAGAATACCAAGTTTTGGCAGTGCTAGGGTTGTTATGTATCATCAGGTTATACAAACATTTGAAATTCTACATTTTAATAACTTTTTGAAATATTTTAAGATTTCTTAATCTAATATTATGAAAGCCTTTTTGTTCTGTTTGTTTGTGTAAAGCTCTACAACTGTGCTAAAAGTTGTTGATATTATATTACAACTCCTTATTTATGGTTTAAGTTACTTATTAATCAGTGACTCTTAATTTTGTGAATTTTTTTTTAGTATTCTGTTGTTTTTTTTAAGCTACAAAGTTATACAATGAACTATCTGTGCTCTGTCCACTGCAAGTATTGAAACCCAATTTTTAGTGTCATAAGCCACTGTAGAGCTTCTTTTAAGGAATAGTGAAATGAATGATTTCGTTAAAATTCTTTATTATTATTATTTTGTTAGGGAACAATGGAAGAGAAGATTTATGATCGTCAAGTGACTAAACTTTCCCTTTCTTGTCGTGTGGTTGATGACCAGCAGATAGAACGCCACTTCAATGCCGCAGATTTAGAAGAACTATACTCTTTTGAGCCAGACAGTAAAAGTAAACGACCAACTCCCATGGTTCCCAAGGTTCATAATATATCTATTAATTTGATAATTAATCTATAAAAGTAGTATTGTGAAGACTACTTCTTACAAATATCTGTTCTTCTTATAATATGAATCATATATAGTTTTTGTTAATAGTCAATACTCGTGTGTCTCTTGTTTTCATTATGTAAGTGTATTACTGAATAAAATACTTGGTCATTTATAATAAGAGTTAAAATTGCGACTTGTAATGGTTTTTGTTCCACCAGGATCGACTCCTTGCTGATCTGTTATATCAACATGCTAACTGGATTGTCTCCTATCATGAGCATGACTCACTGCTCCTAAACAACCCAGAAGAAGAACTAACTGAAGAAGAGTGTCAGTCTGCTTGGCAGGAATATGAAGCAGAACGAAAAGGAATAAAAAACAACCTTAATTTTGGCAAGAACATTTGCAATTTATATGAAGTTTGAATTTTTCCAACTAGTATATCGTAATAGATTTTTCCTGACCAAAAAACTTTATTATTCTCATGTGTGTAATTTTCACTCTCAAGTCTGCGAAGGTGTCACATCTATAATGTTAATTCATTCTTTTATTTGTTTGCGCTCCCAAAAACTATACTGAATTGGTATGCTGAAATGAAAATTGCAGATAGAAATATGATTTTTTTTTCCTCGAACAAAAGTTATATTTTTCAGTGAAAAGAGTATCAGAATTAAAGAAATCATCAGTATTGTAAATGAATAAACTTCTGTGAATTATAAAGTACTGACATACAGCCATTTAGATAGAGAATAGTCATAATACAATTTATTCAAATTAGAAAGTTTAAATTATGTATCAGTTAAATAATTGAATATAACATTACATATGTAAAATATTGTATACATTATCAGATTTTAAACTTATGTATAATCTAATATTTTCTTATAAGTGTGTAAGAATCATCTAATACATACTTGATGAAAGAAGTAGTTTCTAAGTGTCAGTACTGATAAGGGAAATTAATTGATGATAATCTCTAGCATATGAAAATGTTATTATATATATATATATATATAGGTGTGTGTAGGTGGATGTTATGATAAATAATACAAAACTCCTTTCACACATTTATTTATAACATAATATATTATTACAGTATTCATTATTACCTCACCAAAACTCAATATGTATATACTTAAAACATGGTATACACTGTGCGATGGTCAAGGTAACTTTGTATTAAGAGGTAGCTGCCAAAATAGTGGTGGTAGGGTGCTTTCTGTTACCCACTTTCAACACCCAGCTTTTAATGTCCTTTCACAGTGTATCACATAATTAATTGAATTGATGGTCATTGTATTCATGTGCCTCTGTAAACTACAGGTATAAAGAAAAGTCATTATTCGATCTTCCACACAAAAATCACGGTCGTATGTTGCACTTGACAGGAAGTCGGTCATGGGAGGTCAGGTCAATGTAAAATCATTCTGCACACAGGAAAAAAGTCATATTTAAAAGGAAGTCGTTATTAGGAGGGGTCTTATCCACCAGGGACTACTGTATTACAATAGTGGTGGCCATTTTTTGTCATTTCATTCCTCCATAGAGAGTGCACTGTCTGAGATATATAAGACGTTTGTGTGCCCTCCCCCGTGCACTGTCTGAGATATATAAGACGTTTGTGTGCCCTCCCCCGTGCACTGTGGATGTTGTATATAAGACGTTTGTGTGCCCTCCCCCCACACTTTGTGGATGTTGTTTTATAGAAAATGTAATTTTTTGTAAGGGCATTGTGCCATCTATGAATGTAGTTAATGTTAACTTACATCAAAGATAATATATGCTCAGTAACAGCAATAATAGGGGTGGAGGGGTTTGTTAACCCCATTAACATGCTCCTCATTCCAAACTATCATCCACAAAATTTGGTTGAGATTGGCCCAGCAACCTTAGAGTAATTATGTAATGAAATAACAGACAGAAACACAGATTTTTGTGCTTTATATATATCGTATACATATATATTGCAAACCATGGTGTCTGTCCGAGCATTCATTTGTCTCCCATTTCAAAAGCTGCACATGCAGGCAAAGCTCAACATTCACATTTGAAATGACAGAACAAGCCAGAACAATGTTGATGCTAAATTTTATTTCACAATAAGGATATTCTACACTAAATTATTAGGTATTAATCACACTATCATTCACATTTAAAAGTGTGATGTAACTTAAAGAATAAAAATGTAGATTTACTGTTTGTTATTGTTGAGCAGCTTTTAGCATGACTTTTAACATGTTCAACAATTACTTGTCATGGTGAGTGGTATAAGTAGCTCAGAGCTTTGGCTCTGAGTGAAACCAAGAATGCAACACTATTAACCTTTTTAAAGTCCATGAAATAATTTAAATTGATTGATTAACTTAAACTTTTTCCATCACTGGGAACAAATACTTTTGTTTGTAGATATATATATACACACACTTTGTAACAGTCTAGCATGAAATAATTATTTTGTAAGAACTGAATCTCAAGAGATAAGGAGAGAGAGATGGTTTCTTCAAAATTTCTGTTAAGTTTCGGATAAATAGTCTTCACTTCCTCAACCCCGAGAGATTAATCTTGTGTGATTTCTAGTCTATGTAATATTGCTTTTATTTTAATGCCCATTTGGGTTCCTTTGATGTGATATATTTAGTAGAAAATACAGTAGAATACAGACAGTTACTTTGATTGGTTCTTTGGGCTAATTAGCATGTTTTACAAAAATTTACAGGCTGCAACTGTTACATATATTTAGAAAAAATACTTCTTCAAAATGTTTCAATTAAAAAAGTTGTCTGAATGTGGGTATTATGTTACAAATTAGCATGACTTTTAGGACAGTTGATTTTGCATGTAGTGAAGAGGTTAATTTTTTTTGGAGAAAAAAAAGTGTGCAATAAAAACTATTAATTGTTAGATATTATATACAATTATACATATTTTTACAGCATTTCTTTCATTTTTATTTTTATCAATTTGTGTTGACTTTTAAACAATTACTTCGTCTTATTCACTTGAAGATTTGTTGATAATCTTAGACTTTCTTTCATTTCATTTGTTCTGTTTTTTCATTTACTTTTGAGCCTCTGGCTGAAGACTTTTTGTTTTTTGCAATGTCTACTCAAAATTTCATTTTCTGTCACATTTTTGTCATTGTACTTGCTGTGATGACTGTGACTTTCTTTTCACTGTGGTAATTGTTTTATTATTCATCCATGTACACGTTCACATATTTGAAATACATATTTTTAGAGCTAAGATTGAATTGTGAGAGTTCTAATTAATACATATCTCAGGATGTACATTTTCCTTTCTTTCCTCCCAATGTCCTCTTGTCTCTGTGTTAACTCTTAACATATATTTGCATATAATGTAATAAAACTTACTGATGGAAAGATATCTTCTGAACAAGGTTGATTTTCCAGACAAGCACAAGGTGACAGAATGAAAATATGGTAGAGATTCTGCTTAATAGCACATTGAATATGGATCTTTATGTCCATTTATAGTTAATCAGCAACTGAAATTCTTTATAAAAGTCTGTAATGTCTGTTATAGTTATTTCACCTCTCTGTATTTAGTTTAGAATATATCTGTAATGAGATTTTATTCAGATAAATTTTTGTGCAAATACTCTTTATGTATTTCGATATTCTTGTTAAGCAAATGTCAAAATCCTCTAAATGTGTACTAAAACTTTTACTCAGGTAAAACTTTCTTATATCCCATTGGCCTGTGGTTACTAAGATATTTGTTTCTCTCAACCCCAGCAGCCAGCATAGTCACTTCCAAACAAATAAACCAGTCATGATAATTTGAATAAATATTTGCTACATTTGTTCACTTATGTATATGTTTTCCTTCCCCTTGCTGTCCATGATTGAAATTATTCTCTGCAGTACATTTCTTGAATCTGTGTTGTGTGTATACTTTTAAACTTATCTGTCAAACATCAGTGTACCTAAATATCACAAGTTTACATCTTAAAGACAGCTGATGAGCTATCTTCAGGAAGTAAATATTTGATGTCTGGCAATAACAAGTATAAGCATGTTACATTTGACTAGATGTATTTAAAGGTGATCAGTAAACATGTCAAGTTTACTATAGTTGATTAAGATTTTCATTTGGCCTAGTTTAAATTAATTTTGTTGGAACACTTTAGAATTTGAAGCTACATCTTCTCAAGAAATGCCACAGAAGTCCAACAGAGAAAAAGATTCTTTCAATGCCCAGTATAACACAAATTCTGAATTCCAGGAAGTCACTCAACAAATTGGAAACATGGTTCGGATGATCAAGTCCAAAGTATGCTATATATTTGTTCTTATATTTTATATTGAAAATAAATGACATTTAATTAAATATTTGTAGTCTGAAAAATAAAAAAAGATACATGCATGAATTTGTCTCATAAAAAAAAAAAATTGTAACATGAAATTGTGCTTTATTGATTTTCCAGCTACATTATTCAGTGCATCATCTGTGCTGTGCTAATTTTACACCAACATGCAAGGATCATGTGGAAAACTGGTACAGAATACATTATATGTAGTACACCTTTTACCCATACATACAGTGCCTAGCTAGTTGAATAAACATGTCTACTCTTTAGTGCATGCACTACATTTATCTTTTTTTAGTTAATATATTTTACATTCAGTGAATTTCCATACTACAATTTTCTTTAAGTAATATATTTTGTGTGTACTGTATTTGTGTGTTCAATAAATAGGCTTCCTGTACATGACATGCTATTTTATCATGTAAATAGCATTTCTGTATCAATCATCGTTATTTAAGATAACCCCATAAATATAAAAATGTTTCTATTTAAGATAATGTAAACACAAGCAGAATTGTTTATTTAGAATAACATGACTGTGCCAACCACTTTATGTGTTTGGTAATAATTCATGTACTGAGAATTAATCCTATGTTCACGGCAAGAGGTCAAAGTGTGCATGTCATGACATTTTTATGAAGCTACATTCAAAATGTATTTAAACAATTCATTGTCAATGTATGTCACTAAGATTTACATCAAAACATGGTTTATAATCCAACTTTTGATATTATGTAAGCTTCAATTTCTTAATTACAAAAGAAAGTACTTGGATTCTAAATTTTCACCTCGCTGAATCATATGACACTTATTTGCTCTGAATTTCCCATCTTAGGTTTTCTATCTATCCCTATATGACATTCTCAGTTTGACATAAATTACAAACTTATAGTATAGATATTTCCAAATCATAATATAAACGTATAGCCTCCAGTCTTCTTGCTTTACTGAGGCATGAAGAAGAAAGTCAAATCCATGTTTCATGCCCTGCTATCACATCCTGTCTTTCATAAAATGTTAATAATTCTCTCTGTCATTGTTTATAACCAATAGAAGGAAAAGATTTTAATTTGCTAAGGCTAGCTAATTCTGTTTTTGGATTATTCAGTGTCAGTTTCATTTTTACTATCAACCAAGATATCAGAAATATTTTAACCTACATATAGCTTAGTTAGAGAGCCAGTTAAGTTATAATAGTTTTATGGCTTATATTTTTGTGCATGTTAATATTTTATGTTCTAAGTTGCATATTTGGAATAAACTAAAAAATACTTTATGCACTACCAATAATTCCAATAATTCTACCACAAAATAGGGTTAAGTTTCTTTGTGACTTCTAGAGAAAAAATTTAATAAAGTACATGAGCTCTAAATCGGAGTGCAACATTCTCTCCTGATGCATGTGACTCCCTCTATTCTATTCTAGTGAACTATCTCTTCTCATGTGGCAGTACTCATGTCAAGATGTTGTTGTGCTCTTCAAGCATGTTTTTCCTTCAAACAGTGCATTTTTTTATATTGATTCCAAAGTGGATTTGTTGTTTTTTTCGAAAGTTCACGAATTTTCTGATAACTTATTTTCCCAGTTTTCACTTTTTTTTTCATCAAATGGTTGTGTTTGATTATTCATGGTTACACAAGGTTTTTTGAAGTACAAGTTCCCACTTCAGAGGTAATACTTTCTACTAGCACACTCACACAGGCTACAGGTTGGTGTAACTCTTCTATGGACTTCTCAACTCTCATCCATCGTGAGATTAATTGTTATACGAGTTAACCTGCTTCTCGTGATGTTGTCCCTATTTTTCCTGAACATGCTGAACCTGTTTGGGTCAACTAGGATTTTGACATCCTTTTTCCTCCACCTGATTTTGTCATGTCTTCCTATGCCCTGACTGCAGAGTCAGCTAGACCTAATACAGCTTTTTTAGACATGATTTCTTAGGTATGATCTATTTTATCCATTTCCCCGATTTCATATAATCCCCTTCCTTCTTTGTTATGTGATACCCCTTCTTCCTAGTATTTTGGTTTTCCACCCTTCCCCGGGTATTAGGGTTTATGCAAAGCATTTTTGTTTCTGAGATAGTTGATGTTCCTAGCATGCCTCGCCCTCCACAGGCTTCAGATCAGTCTGTTTCTCAGTTTTCTGCAGTTGGAGTTGATTTTGCCTGTGTAGGGAGTCGAACCCTGATCATCCTGTTCATTTATTTCATGCCCAATTTTCCCACCTTCATCTTACCCTATCGATTCTCCTACTGTACGTGTCTACCATCCACCTCCTTTCTGAGGTGATCCACCAAGATCCGGAGGGTTTTTCGAGGGATAGCTTTTCCCTGATTACCTCCGTGTTGGCACATTTGTCTTCAGCTTTCCAAGACTTTGGAATCAAGCATGGAATTGGTGAGACAACGTATGACCCATTCTTCTTTAGAGGATTGTTTGTCTCATTTGGAGCCTAGGCAAGGCCCTTTTACTGTTTCCCATCCTGCTCCTTCCCAGCCTTTACCTGTTCCTACCTTCAGAGTTTCCTTCTCTCGTGGTATTATTTAATGCAGATAAACACATCACCAACAGTACCAGTGACCACCAGTGGGGCTTGCCTAACTGTTTTCTTCCCCTTTGGCTACTTTCATCACAGATTTGTGGGTTAGTCAGGCATTATCCGAGAGACTTGTCATCCACTTCCTTTCCCCTCCTCTATTGTCTGTGGTACCCATGTCCTTTCCATTGCTTCATGATCCTACCACCAGTCATCTTCTGCCTGAGGGAGTACAAGATCTCTCCCAGAATGCCATCAAACCTGTCACTTATCCTTTTTCAGGTCCCCTCCTCTGTTGTCTCAGGTACCCATGTCCTTTCCATTGCCTCATGATCCTACCACCAGTCATCTTCTGTCTGAGGCAGTACAAGATCTCTCCCAGAATGCCATCAAACCTGTCATTTATCCTTTTTCAGGTTTTTATTTCAGACTGTTTGTGATACCCAAGAAAACCACCTCAATCAATTTTTAGTTCTACCCTGATTTACTATTAAGTCTTTTTTTCCATCTCAGATGGGCTTTTTCTCCGGGTTTGTGGAGGACCAAGGTAGACATTGTGAATGCTTACCTGCATGTTCCAATATCTTGTCTCTCAAGGCACAATCTTTGGTTTGTTCATTACGGGGTAATTTATCAATTTTGTGCCCTGCTCTTTGGACTTGATTCAGCCCCATGTAACTTTTATCAGGTGATCAAGGCCTTTACCCGACATTTTCATGCTCAGGGGTCGCACTTACATTATTACATGGATGACTGGCTTCTGTTAGCTTGTTCTGAACAGGAGTCCAACCATCACACTTATCTACTGCTCCTGGAGGCAGCTCATGTGGATTGGTTATTCAAATTGGAGAAGTCATTCCTTATACCTACCCAATATCTTGTCCACTTGGATGTCCTTTTCAACACTCATCTCAGTCAGGCCCAACCTTCTCCTCTTTGACTTTGTTCGATGCAGCTTTATGTTCTTCATGCCCTTATTGCTCCCTCTCTTACAGTTTATGAGGTTCTATCACTTTTGGGAATGTGGTCTTCTATGGAAGCCGTTATCCCCTTGGGTCGGGTGCATGTAAGGTCTGTTCAGTGGGTTCTGCATGACCAGGGGAATCTTGTGCAGGATCCATTAAAGGCTTCTATTTTCCCTTGCCAGTGATCTGCATTGGTGATTGGACAGGACTCGCACGTTGGCAGATGTTCCACTTCCTCCCCCTTGCCTAGATTTGCATATCTTCATGGATGTTCCCCTTTAGGGCTGGGGGGCATGGGTCTATCAGCAGGAAGCTTCAGGTCAATGGTCTTTGGCCAAAAGATATTTCCATATCAGTGTCCTGAAGCTTCTGGCCATACATCATGCTTTGGATCATTTTCTTTATCTTGCCAGGAATTGTCTGGTCATGATCCATTCCGACAATTCTACGGTGGTGGCTTATATCAATCACCAAGGTGGCACACACACACGCTTGGTATTTATCTCCTTGCATGTCATGTTCCAGATGCATTCAATCTTGTTGCAGATCATTTTTGCCCATCCCAACAAAGTTTATCCAAAGGAGTGGTCTCTTGATTCTATTGTATTCCAGTGGCTATGCCTTTAGTGGAGTATTCCTCACCTAGATGCATTACCAAGTTACCTATGTATTGGTCTCTGGTTCCTCATCCACTTGCTCTGGCTGATGTTACATTCAGTCAAGATTGGACCAACAATTACCTGTATGTTTATCCTTCCATCCATCTTCTTTCTAGGGTGATTTCGATCATCCATGCCACTCCATGTCAAGTTCTCCTGATTGTTCCTTATTGGCCGGCACAGCCATTTTTTCCATAACTGCTCCTGCTGCAATCTGCCACTCCATTACCCCTTCCTCTTACTCCATCCCTTCTATGTTAGCCATGGTCCCTGATGTTTCATCTGGCCCTTCATATCCTCCGTCTTTACATCTGGTTTTTATCTGGTCCTTGGCAAGATCCATTTTGCCCTGGTGGATCACTTCTTTTTTTAGCTTGTTCCATTTTCACTTTCTCTAAGCGTATTTATCAACGTAAGTGGAATGTTTTCTGCCATTAGTCTTTGGATCAAGGGTTTTCCCATACTCGACCCACTGTTCCTCATGTTATGGATTTCCTTACTTGGCTATTTGATCAGGGGTCTTCTGCTTCCTTGATTGTGGGTTCTCAGGCTCCCTTATACAACAATTTTCATTTTTCCAGGTACAGTATACTTTTTACCTCTCCTATCCTTTCTCTATTGTTGTATTCCTTCCAGATTTGTCTACCACCTCAGCATGCAGTCCTTCTGGATTGGGATGTCAATGCAGTTCTTCACTGCTTTACTTTGCTTTTGTTTGAACTTTTGTCCTCATGCTAGATTTTTCACTTATCCCTCAAGGCTTAATTCCTTCTCCTATTGGTCTGTGTATGTTGTTG